GTGCCTGAATCGGGTTAGATCAACCCGAACCCGACCCGAAATTTTGGGTCAGGTCGGGTTCGAGTTAGAAATATCTGACCCGAAAATTATCCAATTTATAGATGTGTGAAATTGGCATTTTATGTTATTTTTTTGGTTCTAATAGCAAGTACATATGTATTTTTAAATAATATTTTAAATAAAACAGTCAAGTATGCAATATTGGCACCGATTTTTGATTGGTTAACAGCCACACATTTGCAAATTTTGGCCAACATTACATAATTGTTTACTAATTTCTGGCCGTAATTGATTTTTTATTTTTTTTTATTACAGAAATAGGAATTTTTGGCCACATTATGGTAAAATTGACCCAGGAACAATTTTACTTAATAGGCTCTGTGGTTACATTAGTAGAATTCTGAGTAATTCCTTCCAATTTTTTTTCATCGCTCTTAGCCAATCAAAATTGATGAAAAATCACAATTTTTAAGAAACTGTCGATACATAACTTGAAATTTCGACTATGAAACCACATTCTGCACTCTAATATAAAAAAATTCTAATTTCTAATCCTACTTTAATGTATATTTTTTACTTTGAATTATTACACGTATTGAAATTAGGTTGACTCATTGAAGAGATCTGATTGGTGCATATTTGTTGATGTCTCAAGCCAATGAAATTAAAAATCCTTGGTAATAATACTATATACTTTTTCTATCCTAATCGATCAAAGTTTGGAAAAACTTAACTGCTGACTTTGTTTTAACAGTTGTCTAAATTCTTTAACTTCGAACAATAACTTTTTGACAGCAAATCAGTAAAGTTTTTTATATTAATTCCATAAATCAATAGGATAATAATAAAAAAAACTTTCATTGTTTTGAATATGCAATACACATTCTTACTTTAGTAGCCCACTGAGTTTATAAGCATACCACGCTTAGATTTGATTATCCAACTTCGATGATCAACATTACATGAATTATTAAATGTTTAAGAGCAAAAAAGGCTATTTGAATTCATTTATAAAAAATTTAATATATTAGCCCTAAAATTTCAGGTCAGATTTGGTTCGGGTTGAAGCTCTAACCTGAAAATTGGTAATTTGACCCGTTCGGAGCACTAATCTTCACTATCGGTCTTTACTTGCTTGGCTAATATATCCGATGACCATGTATCATACAGGTCCTTCCACCGATTATAATATGCTCACACAGGTAATAGTTTATTCACTAAGTTCATTTTCACTAAGCAAATTCAATTCTCAAAGCTATCAAAGCTTACCAGCTAAGAAGCTAGATACTTTCTCTTTCGGGATCGATACCTTATATTAATTACTAATTGCTATTTCAAATTTTATGACATTTATCATCGCATGATCCAATATCGATATTATCGTGCAATTATGATCATGATTTTCAAGTCATTTTTGGCTAACTGAGTTTTAATTCGAGATTGTTGTGCTTATGTAATAACGTACAAAAAATAACAAGAAGAAAAAAATCTATGATCATAAGAGTTTGCACGATAACCTTAAAAACTCCTCTTTATGATATATAATATTCTAATTTCTACTTTCCCGTTCCTGGTTTCGCGCAACTGCGTTGCGCAGCTACTTATTTTAGTAATGTAAAAGGCTAATTTAGTGTTAATCCCTCTATCAGGATTTTTACATCCGGATATATACTATGTCATGTGATATAACGTGACGTAATGTTTTAAATCCGGAAATAAAAGCTGATTTCATAAATTATGGGACAACTGATAAAATTGATCAGCCGAATTCGATAAGTTCGATAAGTTTTTGGATTCGCCGAGAGAATGGACTCGAGTCAACTCGTAGCTTAAAAAACATAGGCTTAACTCGAATTAACTCGAGCCACGACTATGTTTTTTAAGCTACGAGTTGACTCAAGTCCAGTCTCTATTCTAGGCTAATTAAATAATACAGATATACTAATCTTATCGTTATGAAAATCTATTACAGCTATTCACATAAATTCAGGGACAATGAAATTTTTCTGATGACCGAATTCGATTAGTTTCTGAGTTCGGCCGAAGCCATTTACCTATTGATTCCGATTTTGTAACTTCTTGTCTCAGAATTTATGAGAACAGCTGTAAGAGACGAAATATTAGTGCGAGTGAATATGGAATAACCAAAGTTTGATAAATTTGACCAATAATATGTAAATATAGTTTTCGCAGGTAAATTACCGCAACTATCTCTGTAATATGTAATAATTATAATGAGTTACAGGTTACGGGTTGACTTCCCGAAATCAATATTACTGAAACATCATTTCACCGAAGTAACAATACTGGCATTCCACTTTACTAACAAGACATAATTCCGAAAGTCTCATTTTACCGAAATATAATTTTAATTGGTAATAAATTTTACTTATAAATCATTTATCTGCAATTTCCATCTCGCCGAATGTTAAAAAACTAAATGTCTATTTTACTGACATTCCATTTATCCGAATAGTACATTTTTCTGACATTTATTTCTTTGAAAATATATTACTGAAGGTTCTTTTACCGAACGATGTTTTACCGAATTTACAGCTATTTTTATAAATTATAGACCACCTAATGACCCGAAAAAAAGTATAAAATAATTTGGATAAAATAATTTGCTAATAACCATTTCACTGACAGCCATTTCACCGGCAAAGTTAGCCTGGTTTATGTTGAGTTGGCCTGATTTATACAATTTTATTCAATCGAGAAGACATCTTGTCGGTAAATTTCTTTTTGAGGAATATTTTTTCAAGAAATATTTTTTAGATGAAACATCTTTTCGGGGAAATATATCAAAATATTGGTCGATGAAAAGGCTTCAAAAAAATTTTTGTCTGAAGTTATCCAACCAGCTTATAACCGATCCAACTCTAATTAAGCAACATGTACAAACACACTTTGATAACTGGACTACATACAAACCCATCAATCCAACTCTCTTTAATAATTTTTGGCAACAACAATACTAACCTCTCCCTCATATTAATCCAAACTGGTATAGCCCAGAGGAATAGAAGTTTGGAGAAATTGGTTTGTCGGTGAAAAAGTCTGTCAAATAAAAATTTTCAGAAATACAAAAAAATTCAGTGAAAATTTCTATCAGTAAAATATACTGTCAGAAATATGTCTCGTCGGGAAAAAGGAATATCGGAATTATTGGGTCGGGATTATGGTATTTCGGGAAGGTGGGTTTCGGAAAAGTGAAAATCAACATAATTCGCACCTCTAATTTTGACTGAGATAATCAATATTCCCGAGTTATGTTGCGTCATTTTAATATATTTTTATTTTAATGAAATGTGTCGGAATGCAGGGAAGATGGGTTGGCCTAGATCAGAATCCAAAAAAATTTTTCTGGGTTTTCATTGATCGATTAATATATTAATTTGATATCTAAATTTTAAACTTGAGGACAAGATTCTCGAATATGTTGCCTACTTTTAGTTAATTACAATTGGGTTTGCTATGTAAATTTAAAATTTTGAAAAAAAAGAAATTTATAAAAGCAATTAAATTTTTCAAGGTAGAAAATAACATTAAAGGTACTGTCAGTTTTTGTTGTCAAAATATCATGTTGGTTTAAACATTCTAGCAACAAAAAATGTTCGATTTGAACATGGTAAGATTAATATTTATCGTGTAGAATTTTTATAGTAAACCTATACCCTAACCTTATTTAGCTAAGAAATTCTGAATCTACTTAAACTCCGTTTTTATTTACAACATATGTATTTTATATATGATGATATATAATTTCGATTTACATAGCGCATTGTACACCCCAATATATTTGCGATATGAACGTATGAAGTAAATCTGCATAAGATTGTTAACATAACCATGTCAAACACACTAAAAGAATGGTTTGAAGAAGCTATTTCAAAAGAGCATATAAATTATATTAAATGTGATAAGTTTACTAACCGCAGATTAATTGGTGATGGAGGTTTTGGAAGGTTTTTAAATACGAATGGGAAGACTATAATATAACAGTTGCTTTAAAATGACTTAAAACCGACATAAATTTAAATGAAAAAAAACTTTTAAAGAATTTATTAACGAAGTATTTAATTATTATTATATGGATTAATTCTAAACATATTTATATATTAAATTAAAACTCTTTGTTATTCATTTAATAAAAGCTTAAATTATTACGAAAAGTTGATCAAAGTATTATTAGATTCTATGGAGTTACCAAAGGTATAATAATAATATTTTTTTATTAAATAATGATTGTTCATAGTAAATATTCAGAAGTTTATATAAATCAGTAGATGGCAATGGAAATTATAATATGGTTCTACAATATGCTAATGAAGGAAATTTACAAGAATACTTAAAAAAAATTTTTAATCGATTATAATGGACAGATAAATTATATTTTGCTAAAGAAATAGCATGCGGACTCTTGTTTTTACATGAAAAAAAAATTATACATAGAGACCTTGTAAATACTATATATTTTATTGAATTTTATATTGATTATAAATTTGATCACTAATATTTTGATAATTTAGCATTCGTTGAATATCTTAATTCATCAAGGACAACCAAAGATTGCGGATTTTGGATTGTTGAAACAGATAAATGAGGCGTCAAATTCAAATTCAAAGCCTTATGGGAAACCGGCATATATAGAGCCTAAATGTTTTGAAGATTCGAATTATAAACGTGATATGAAGTCTGACATCTATAGTTTTGGAGTAATTCTCTGGGAAATTTCAAGCGGAAGACCACCATTCCCATCGTTTACAAGAGAAGAACTCGCTGTTCACATGTTTAAAGGAAAAAGTGAAAAACCTATAGAAGGCACGCCAAATTAATATGTTGAGCCTTATAGACAATGTTGGAATCCTGACCCTATTAAACGTCCGGAAACAAAATCAATACCTAAAATGTTAAATAAGCTTATTCCGAAAGAAACTTCAAATCAAAACTATCACAATGAACAGTCTCAAAATAACGAAACGTCTCAAAATAAAGAGATGTCTCAAAGTAACGAAATGTTTCAGAATTTCTTAAATAACGATAAAGACTCACGCGCGGATGAGTTTGTAATTTCTTTCCATGAAGCTAAATCTTCAACTGGTATGGCAGATTGTGCTCAGAAAGACTTTCACATAGAATTACATGAAATAATATATATATTTTTTTAGATACATTATTTATGATTGCGTATTCTGAAAAAAAGAAGAGTTCATTACTACAAAGGAAGCGCCTGAAACTGAAACTAATGTACAAAAAACTGATATTAGAGTCATTGTAGCTTTAGCTAAGTTAATATGCATTAACTTTTTTAAGAAATCAAAATCGAGACCATAAATTATAATCAAATTCTATAGTCTTTGGAATAAAATATTCTGGGAGTATTTGATGAATTTTGAAAGAAAATATTATAACTTACACCAGTGCAGCTTTAATATAAATGGAGAGGTTTATATAACATACTTCAAAGTCTCGATTTCAGCTCTTGTGAGTTTCTCAGGGTTCTGAGCATTTTTACTTAGAACCCATGACCATATTTACTTAGTACAATTTCGAAATATGGCACTATGGTTATCAATAACCACTGGTAAGAGTTAAAAATATCTATTTTTATTATTTTCATTTTTACTACAAATTTACAAGTTATTTTTCTAAAAATACAACTAGACAATCACCAAAGAAATCAGTAATTATATCCAAAAAGAAAAGCGCGAAGATCGTGGAACTATGGTGCAAAATGAAAGTGTGGTAAATCTTGGGCACGTAGAAAGCCAAAGGATTTATGACTAATTTGCTGCCGACTATACAGAAATTGATAGCATCAATTTTAATTAGATTATTGTAATATATAATTCGATTTTGGCACTTTAGTGAATCACTTAGAGACATAAGCATTTTAATAAGTAATGCATCTTTTATTGTAGGTCATATATGTATAGTCTATAAAATTATGTAAGTGGAAACAGAATTTAGTGGATTCGGAATTCTTTAGTGAAATTAGTGAAATTAGAATTTTAAGTAGTATATCGCTATCTTTAATTGCGTACAGAGTACCACAATATATATGGGCTAGGTGCTGGAAAAAGGAACGAAAATTACAATCTTTTCAAACCATATTTTTTTATATAAATTGATTTAGAATCAGATTAGGATCTTTTTTCACTTAAGGCATAAAGGTAGTTGTGTTAATAAAATTTGCAGTATAGCTCTTTAAAGGTTGTATTTTCTTATAATCTGTTATAAGATTTATAACACAAAATTTGATTTTCTGTTTCGTTCCTTTTTCCAGCACCTAACCCATATATTGTGCCTCAGATTAACGTTTGCCTCAGGTGCCGATTTTTTTGGCCAGCATTAACTGATCGACATTGATTGGCCTAAATTAAACTCTAATCTTACCCCTAACTCTTACACTAACCCTATCCTAACTTAGGCCGATCGACATCTGAAGAAGCGTTAATCTGAGGCACGACATATATATGGCAATTGCAGTTGTGCAGCGTAATACATTTCTTCAATAAATTTGATGATTTCATACGTAACACATTAACACATTCTTTCTTGAGAAAAGATGTCAATTTATAATAATATATTAGAAAAGCAGCCAGAACAAAACGACAGTTTATCAGACATTACTCAACTAACCAACAATGTTAATCAATTGCATTTAGAAAATAACAAATCACAAGATTCTCTTAATCAAATTATTGAAGAAATTTGTAATCTATATGATAAAGAAATATTGAAAGGCCAAAACGTCCGTTCAATTCTTGACACATTAGAACAATGTCTAGAAAATAAAAAACAAAATCCGGATGATATTATCAAATTTTGTTTAAATGATCATGACAATCCTATAATTCAAATAATTCTCGCAGGTTGTTATTGTTATGGTAAATGGGTTGAAGAAGATAAACATAAGGCTTTCATTTATTACCAAAAATCTGCTGATATGGGTAATGCAAAAGGAATATATGAAGTTGGATACTGTTATCGTCATGGAATTGGAGTTGAAAAGAATGAACACGAGGCTTTCATTTATTATCAAAAGTCAGCAGAGATGGGAAATGCTGTTGGAACAAATATTGTTATGAAAAAGGAATTGGAGTTGAAAAGGATGAACATAAGGCTTTCATTTATTATCAAAAATCTGCAGAGATGGGAGACACTGTTGGAACATCTGATGTTGGATATTGTTATCGTAATGGAATTGGAGTTGAAAAGACTGAACATAAGGCTTTCATTTATTATCAAAAATCTGCAGAGATGGAAAACGCTAGTGGGACAAATATGGTTGGATATTGCTATGAAAAAGGAATTGGAGTTGAAAAGGATGAACATAAAGCTTTCATTTATTATCAAAAATCTGCAGATATGGGAAATACAACTGGAACAACTAACGTTGGATACTGTTATCAAAATGGGATTGGAATTGAAAAGGATGAACATAAAGCATTTATCTATTATCAAAAATCTGCAGAGATGGGGGACGCTAGTGGAATGTGTAAAGTTGGATATTGTTATCAGCATGGAATTGGAATTGAAAAGGATAAACATAAGGGTTTCATTTATTATCAAAAATCTGCAGAGATGGAGGACGCTGGTGGAATGTGTAATGTTGGACATTGTTATCATCATGGATTTGGAATTGAAAAGGATGAAAATAAGGCTTTTATTTATTACAAAAAATCTGCAGATGAAGGAAACGCTATTGGAAAATTTAATGTCGGATGTTGTTATCAAAAGGGAATTGGAGTTGAAAAGGATGAACATATGGCTTTCATTTATTATCAAAAATCTGCTGACATGGATTTTGTTAATGGAATATATAAAGTTGGATATTGTTATCAAACCGGAATTGGTGTTGAAATAGATGAAAATAAGGGATTTGATTGTTTTCAAAAATCTGCAGACATGGGCTTTGTTTTTGGAATATATAATGTTGGATATTGTTATCAAAACGGAATTGGAGTCAAAATTGATAAACATAAGGCATTTATCTATTATCAAAATGCTGCTAATATGGGTTATGCTGATGCAATATATAGGGTAGCTGATTGTTATCTCTATGGGCGTGGAGTTGAGATAGATGAATATAAGGCTTTTATTTATTATAAAAAATTGACTGAAATGTAAAAACTGACCTGTTGTAATTTAAGTCAAAAAAATTTATTATAGTGTTAATTATTGTAAAGTGTGAATTTGAAATACTTGTACGTCAAATACATATGATAATATTGTATACTCATTGATATATATTAATCTCATTAAGTATAAATTAATTCGGTCGACAACTAAAAAATAAAAAACAATTATTAAAAATTTAAAAAATTAGAATTCAGACAAATTAAGATGTTGAAATCCCTGGAAAAGAACTACAGTCATCTTCCTCTACAGTCACCTCTATATAATCACAACCTCTCTATAAGCCATTTTTTGAAAATCATTGACAATATATTTATCAAGAAAACTCTATATAATCACATTGCTATTGAAATTTTATAATCACATAGTTTTTGCGTAAAACAAACAGCGTGATTATAGAGGAGGACGACTGTAATTACTTTCAAAAATCTGCTGACATGTGTTTTGTTACGGGAATATATTACGCTGGATATTGTTATCAAAAAGGATTGGCGTTGAAATAGACGAAATAAGGCATTTATTTATTATCAAAAATCTGATGAAGTAGATTTTGTTAGTGGAATATATAATGTTGGGATATTGTTATCATAACGAAATTGGTGTTGAAATAAATGAAAATAAGGCATTTAATTATTTTCAAAATGTTTTGTTATGAAATTATATAATGTTGGATAGTGTTATCAAAAAAAATGAAAGACCCAGTGTGTAGAGAGTTGTCCGTACACGTGATAATCAATGCATTTCTTATTGCTTATTAAATTTGCGCAGGCTTTAACATTATTATGAAAGAATTACCACTATATGTTAAGAAAATTTTTTGTTAGTGCGTAAATGTCAGTTTGTTATGTAAATTTTGTGTTATGAACAATTTTAAAAACGGGAAAGTTTTTTTACGTTATTCCTGATTATATTTTACATTATATATTGGTCATAATTGAATTAATGGTCAATTATCACCTATGTAGATAAGTTTTCCTACATCCTGATACTGTTATTTATCTATTAGCAAATCGCCATGGAAAGGTCTTTCACTCTGCTCCCTCCGCTCTAGCTCAATTATTGTACAAGAAAGTTTCGCAGAAAGCTATAGTTTTTTCATGTATAAACTAGTACATGACATGTGTCGGCTTCTTCGCCCAATTTTAACTAATAGTTAGATATGGTAGGCGAAATAATGGCAATATAACAGCCGAAGAAGTTTATGATCAGCTTAAATATTAAAAATCAGTGTTGCAGGGTTTTATAAAATTCACCTGTACGGCTATAACCGTATCGCTCAGATCATGACCACCTTGACTATCGATCTGATATCAAGACACTAAATATATCATTAAGACTATATTTACTTAAAGTGAAACTTACACGAATTTTATTAGAGATTTCTCTTTCGTAATACAAGATTATCTACATGCAGCGAATTCTATATAGAATTAGACTTTTAATTAAAAACTGAATCACGCCATTCGTGTAACGCGTATATTACATGAACCCGATCCTATTATCCTGGCACTACGAATTCCTAGGGTTATTAACTAACCCATGACACAGGGTACGTATATCCAAAATTGACTGTTCGTAGTGTACAAAATAAGTTTGTAGAATTATAGTTCTTACTTCATTTAGCTTCATTTTTTTAATACTATATTTCAGTGTAGTATTTCCATTAAGTTGTTTATATTATTTTCAGCCATTCTTCGTTTGGCCTTGTTTAAGCACAGCTTTATATTTTTATGTTTTGGCCTGGCTTCACATGGCATATTTGAATTTTACATCTTTTATCATTAGTGATCATAGATAAAATTAATCTGGAATTTTGGAGGGATCTTATATAAGCTATATGAAATGAGTAACTGGTTTATCATTTCAGGAAGCAAAATGGGTAATAATAATTAGATATTGTGGTCAATAAATGATATCAGATTTTTCGTTACGAAAGATCTTTGGGGTTTTTTTCGCTTTTTTTTCATGTCTTGAATTTGTTTCTTGATTATTTTTGTGGGTTCATTCTGTTTTCTTGATAGCCCGAAATCTGCAATCTTAATTCTTTTGCAGTAATTTCATTTAATTTATGGCTTGTCAGAGTTTCATAACAAATCTCTATGGGTTATACTCTGTTCATGACCCCACTCGTAATTTCCAAAGCAAAGCGTACAGTAGCTTATCTTTATTTCTCCTAACTTTTCGCCCAAATACTTTCTAAGGGAGCTTCCATCAGCATATTCTAGAATCAAACGGTAATTATCTAAATCTGAAACAAACATTATTTTTAGCTCGACAAAAATTTAGTAAACATTAAAAAAAAAATAACAACCTAAATTAATTCCAAAATGTGCGTAAACCATTCTGAGTTAAGATGATTATATATAAAAACTGTATAATGTAATAGGAATACTTCTTTATTTCAAATTAGAAATAGCAAATTGATATACCTCTTTAATAAACTCTTTATACTTTTTATTGTCATTGTTGGAGAATTATTTAAGAGCCACGCTAAATTAACTCCGCCTGATATCCAGTCGACACGAATGATCACGCCAAATCCGAGCTCTCTAATATTAGTAAAATTTTAATAATCAATGCATCTAACGTATCTGTCTTCTATCTCTTCTTGTAGCAACTGCTATAATTCGTCACCGACCCACATGTTCGATTTCTTGATGTGCTGCACGAATTATGCTATAAAAATTTTTCAATATATGTGTAGTAATTAAAATAATTTTATCTTGCTTAAGTATGTGAATTCTTCTGTGTAATAATATAAAAATTCTAAAATTATTAACTATCCACTATTTGGACATTGGGTTATTCTGCAGGTCAGAATTTTTAGTATATTTAGACACTCGTTATAATAGGGGGTTTCAGAGTTAACTTATTTTGAAAATAAATGAGAGTTTGAAAAGTTCTATTTTTGGTTTGAAATTTCGAAATCAGAAAATGAAAAGGAGTTGTCCGGAGATAAAATACAATGATATATATTATATCTTATTATATAAATAGGCTTACAAATAAAAATAAGTAGGATTTATAGATCTCCGATTACAAAATTAATACGTCGCTAATTTAATTCGAAATCAGAAACCTGAACCTTAAGTCTGAAACCGCCTAAAGATTTCTATTCATCAGACTTCGTTTATTTCTTTTTGTTGACAAAGGTCTCAATTTAAGGCCTCACGAGTTATGAACTATTTCCTTAAGTATTGGGGAGAAAAATGTAATACGCAACGATAAAACTTGATTCAAGTATAATGAGTAAAAAAAAAATAATAATTGATTTAAGCATAATTAATAAAAAAAGAAGGTTTATTCAAGTGTAATGCATAATTAATAAAAAAAGAAGGTTTATTCAAGTGTAATGAATAAAAAAAAAAGATTGATTAAATAAATAATAGCGTGCGTTTAAATTTATCATATTATTAATACTATAATATCAACGTAATTATTATTATTTAGTCATTTTTCAATCAGTGAAAATTGAAATGGCGCATATCAATCGATATTGACATAATTGAAGTAACCAATGTACTATACCAATATAGCAGAAAAAACGTAACAAAATATGTACGAATGCTTTTTAACTAAAGTTATTTCAAATATTTTAAAATGAACGTGATCAAATCATCTCATAATTGCATCTATTAAATTATTTGATATTAGTAAACCCTATATGTGATAAATTTTTGTATTAATATACTTTAACTGAGTAAATACGAAAGATAATAACTCTATAATTTATATAATTTATTATAAATTTTGTCTCAAGAGGACGTTGCAATTTAGATAAAATAAATAAATAAAATGAAGAAATTACTGCCTTCTATTATGAGATAATATAAAATATTCCAATGATAGCTAATCTTCACTGGAATCATCTTCGTAAGTAGCATAAACTTTAACAATTAAAAAGATTAACATATTAAAAAAAAAATTCTAAAGTCAAAAGTAATTAAGGCATTTCTGGTATTAAAATATTAAGGTACGCACTCCTACTCCTTAAACAGCACCCAAAATATCGAATTCTCTCATAATGATATTGAAATCCTTCTTTCAAATTTGTAAGTTTGCTACAAAATAGAATTACAATTTATCATAAAAAAAATTTATTATTAAAGATATTCATGATTTAAAATATTCATGAATAAAAATATTCATGATTTAAAAAATGTAAACTGAAATTTATACAAGTTTAAAGAAAAAAACATACCGATCAAATTTAAGACAATCTAGAATATAGCAAAGTTTCCAAGCCGCAATAGTAAAGCTATAAATTCTTATGTTGCTAGTGCTCTCACCCTTCTCATCAACATTAGTCTCCCGTTTAAAACATACGTTATTTTGATGATCGAATTGATATTCATATATATCATCATTTATAAAATCAGGAAAAGTTAATTCACCGAATTTAGCACCAAGTTTAATTGGAATGGATATATCTTCACTCTTTTCCACATAGGCTATAAAATTAATTTTATTTTTGACTGATTTTTTGTAACCATTACAAGAGTTAATGGTACCATCAGTATTATCGAATAAAAAGGTAAAAGTTTTTGTAGAATCACAATATGTTGGCGGTAAATTTTTAGACCATTTGGTCTCGTTCCAGTCTGTTAACTATATAAAAAAGGTAATAATCTATAAATTTATTTTAAAACAAAAAATTATTTTATTTTTATTTTAAAACAAAAAATTATTTTATTTTAATTATTAATTTACCTCAAGTTTTAAACCAGAATTTAGTCTAGAGATAACAATTTCATGAGTTACTAATGGAACGAATGAGTTCCACTTTTTACAAACGGTTCGTAGAGAGCAAAATTTTTCAAAGCTACGTATGATTTATAAAGAATCGTTATAACTGATAAATAATTTTTAAACGAAAATAATTTACAAACTTGTATAAACTTACTTTGTCTCATTAGCAACATAAATCAAAATTTGTATATGTAGCTCGTTAGGAAGATATTGGATCATTATAGAAATTTAAAGTTTTTTTTGAAATGGATAGAGAGCTCTTATATAAACTATTTCTGACGATCACAAAACGCCAAATTTCTAATTTAGTAAGCCAGTGATTGTGCGTTACCACATATAAATTACGTATGCGACGTTTTTGAGTTACGTACACAGTAATACAAGTTAAACTGTAATTGAGCAAAATGCTATCGCTATAATCAACTACTATACTTACAGATTTGTGCTTTTCTGACAATTAAATTTAGGTAGAGTTGTTATCAGTTCATTCAGTTCTATTCATTGATCGGTTTTTATAATAGTTAACATTCCCAAATTTAGGTTTTTTCTAACACAAAAGTTCTAATGGTTATTTATAGATGATATTACGCTATCGATATTGATACAATAAAGATAAGATGCTGTACCACACGAGATTGATTAAAAGGTGGTGAGTAGTTGCAAATTTGCATAACTAATAACAACATTCGGGTCGAAGAGGCATTTAGATATGGCGAATGGTGTGTCAAAAATTCGATATACTTCGGCTATTTCAGGACTGTTGGATAAAGTTTTGGTAATAATATTTGTTTAATTTTATTTAATTCTACAATAATTTCCTACAGTCACTTGTAGAAAATTTAGAAAATGATTATGTTTGTAAATCCAAAGCTTTTTATTTATAATAAAAATTTAAGTGAACATTTACATCAAAAAGACAATTCTCTAGGATTTCCCATATATTTAGCTTCGTTCATTCCTTCATTCTTATTGACAATTTTAAATGTTTCTTCAATAAGGTTCATTTTTTTGGAATAATGCGCATGAATTCGCATGAATTGCATAGTAGTCATTTGAAAATGTTCTAATAATAAAGTGCATAACCCTATCATATTTGGGAATTACATGACTTCGCCATTAATTGCTAGAAAACACTTTTAATTTCTTTTGATATGGATCCATTTGTTAGTAAGATTATAATAGTGAACCTATTTGTTAAGGCCCTTTAAAATTTTAAAGTTAACACCTGGAATAATTATAATAATCATGATTAATATAAATAAACCTACTTATTATTTTAATTTTTTTAAAAAAACTCATATTTATATTACTCACACTGTTTATTATAATTATCAGTCATTATTGATGATTCTTTTTAATATTTGTTTGATAAAATTTCTAAAATGGTTCTATTTCTAATATAAGAATTATATCATTAGTCGGAAATCTTAAGTCAAAAACTTGTATATTATTATAAATCTTACTCCTTGTCTTTCTTCATTTGAATTATCACTATTATCATGTCTTGCTTGATTTATTATAAATATTATTATAACAGTAGTCATGATGGTTATTACGGCTATCAAGCTCATTAATACGATGAGATCAAATTAGAGCTTTTTGACTTGGTATGATTCTTGAAGTAAATAAATCTTGGTTTAAAAAGGATATAAAGTGTTATTATTATTTTTAAATTGTAGTGTAAAGTTTTGTACTCACTATATTATATTTTTTGATGCTCTTTAATTATATCGTTTCTTTATTGCGAAATTGGTCTTATCTATCGGAGAAAAAAAATTATGAATACCGTAAAATCTCGAAATAGCGGGCATGGGCGTTATTTCGAATCTTGGCCCGAATTAAGCTTAATTCGGCCGAAAATTGTAACCTCACCCCTGCGCGTTATTTCGAGATTTTACGGTAATAAATATTGATAGTGCATTAACTTTTTTTTTGTTATTAATAATATTCAATCTGTTTTCCAAAAATTATTAGATCTTATTAACAAGCTATGGCACCCGAATTCAAAAACTTGAAGTGGATACCAAGCTGTTGAAATCAAATATACAAAAAAAAAAAAAGAAACACGTATTTAATATTTCTTCAAAGCTTAAACCAATAACACTTTTACCTATCAATTTTTAAAGGCTGCACAATTAAGGCTACTTCATATTCCATATGTGTATTGTTTTTTATTCTTTTAAGTAGAAAGCAATTTCTTTTAAAAATATAAAAAAAATATGTGCCTTTTTAAACAATTAGATCGAGGCGTTTTGGTGAAGTGTGATAACTGATTTGTTTGTTCATAGTTCTTTTTTTATAAGAACAAAGCTTTGGTACTAGTAAAGAAGGAACGTGAAAAAATTTGACTTTGTTTTGAAAATTTGTAAATATAACACAGTATGTAACATCTTTGCTGACGATCTTTTGTAATACCGGTATTTATTTATGGATTTTTTTTTCTTTTGAAATGCTGTACAGCACAGCCCTAAATAATAGAACAAGCTTTTATCATGATTAACTAGTTTCTCGTAGTGATTTTTTGATAATCATTAAAATAGTAAAAATATTCGAATATCGATATGCTTGGAATAGAGTTTGGGAAACACTAAGAGTTCAAAATAATTATTTAAAAATTTAAAGAATTTGAATAAACATAAAATTATTTATGCAGAGAACTATAAGCTAAGTGTTATATATACTTTTTTTTTTTTTTTGATTCTATTCATTCTTGAATCAATTATGTAATTTATTCCAAATATTTAAAATCGGCAAACCTTATATCAATTATCAAAACTCATTTTAGAAAAATGCCTGTTGCATTATTATTGGAAGAAATATATATTTAAAGTTGTCAGTAGAATTTGGCACGTATTAGCGTCACATTGGAATTGGGGTTATTTCTGATTTTAGTTTCGGGTTAGAGTTATAAGTCAATTATCTTTCTGACATTTTTCTTGCTAATGAAAACATTAAAATCCATTATTATTTTGATTAGTGCATAGCATTAAAGTTCTTATTAGTTTTTTTGCTTCTGCTTGTTGAGTTTGATCACAATAATCGAATACACTATTAAAGGTAACCATATAACCATATAACAATGTAAGTAATTTTTTATTTTATAGTGTTAGGGTCTTTGTTACACCATTTTAGTCAGCCGTCGCTATTGTTTGTGACATTTCAAGTGAAGTATTTATTTCAAAACACCTATAAATCTTTTTTTTTTGAGGTTTATACTTATTTACATAATTGTTACCGGTAGATATTTATAAAAAAAAAGCTAATTTAACACAAGGTTTATCTATTTAATTTTTTATGCGGAATTATAAAGCAGCATTTATTTTCGAAATTAGTTAATTTTTAAAAATTTAAACTAATCTAATGTATTGAGCAGCTCATATTAAATATTTAGACCAGTAAATAATTACTATACTTATATATTAAATCAATACGATAAAAAGTTAAACTTGAAATGAATTAATACTGAAACCATTAATTTATTGGCGCTATCCAAATTATTATATACTAAACCTTTATTATTGTTTGCGCATTAAGATCAAGTAGAGAAGCTCATGTTTAGTTGACAGCTTAGATAAACAATTTCCTTTTTGGATAAAATGGGCAATGTGGAGGCTCACGAGAATACACCAAAGCATTAATCAACAAATCGAAATTTGTAAGTTTAAACAAAACATCAAGTAAAATGCTAATGTCGTTAAAATAAACCAAATTTTAGATATTTTACAACCTATATTTTTTTTTATTTAAATGATATAATTTATAAAATATTTTAAAAATGAAAACACTCGCTAAATATTATTTGAAATTTCTATATCAACAGATTTGCTACCATTTAGTTTTGATAATCTTTTACTGATTTCCAATGTGTTAAATGGTTTGCTAGTGTATATATTTTTTAGCTCTTTTTTAATTATTGTAAAATTTTTGTTAATCTTATCACTTTCTAAAAACTGCTTTTTAATTTCATTTTCTGAATTTCCATTCAAAATTTCCAACCATTCATTTAATTTAGTAATAATTTCATTAGTAGTTGGCCGTTTTTCTGGATTTGGATCCATGCATCGATTTGCTAATTCAACATAATGATTAGGAGTTCCAATTCCAAATTTTGGTCGTAATCCTTCACAAATCATAATCACAAGAATTTCATCAAATTTATGACTATCAAAAGGTCTCTGTCCAGTTGTCATTTCTACCATGATGACTCCAAATGAATAAATATCTGTTGCTTTAGTGTACTTATTTTTTTTTCTTTGAAAAAGTTCAGGAGCGATGTAAGGCAAGACACCATAAATATGATCTTCTAGTTCTTTCTCATCAAGTGGTTTTGATAAACCTAGATCAGTAATATATAAGCTTTATAATCTTCTTTTAACAAAATATTTCCCGGATGTAAATCTCGATGTACCATGAATACGATAAAGATTAGATATAACATCATGAAGTATCTTTAATTTAAATTTCCATTCAAAATTAAAGATATCAGCAAGGTTTTTGCTTAATGATCCATATTTTGCGTAACTCGTTACTAAAATATAATCGTCCATTTTTTCGTCTCTTGATATTCCTAGATATTGTGCTAAGCTATGATAAGCTTTTAACTAAAAAAAAAAAACAAAATAAATTATTATATTTAAATTATTTAAAAAAAATAAATATTAAAAAATACCTCTTTTAAAAATGGATCTTTATTCTTATTAGAATCTTTTACGATCTTGATTGCCACTTCTTCATATGACCCATATTGTTTTAAATATTTTGCTTTAAAAACAGTAGAAAATGCACCTTTACCTATTTCTTCGATATTTTTGAATTTATCATATGCCATCCAATTAAAAAATTCAGCTTTTTTGATGTTAGCATTAGCTCGTTCAGTGATAGCAGATTCTAAATACCATTCGAAAGCAATATCTATATTCGGTAATATTCACCAACATGATACATTCCATCAGGTTCTCCCATATCTGCTGATTTTTTATAGTATTCGAATGCCTTATGATTATCTTTTTCGACTCCAATTCCATATTTATAATATGTTCCAACATTACGTATTGCAACAATATGTCCCATTTTTGCTGATTTTTTAAAATATTCGAATGCTATTTTTTCATTTTTTTCAACTCCAATTCCGACAAAATCCAACCCAATTTGTTCCTTCAGCATCCCCCATTTTTGCACCTTTTTGATAATATTCAAATGCTTTTGTCCATCCTTTACAA